TCCTCCCCTTGTGTGGAGGATAGAATCACAGTAGAACAGATTTGCTCAGCGCTGAAATGCACCAAAAACATGAAGGCCCCCGGGTTTGACGGAATATTCAACCTAGTGTTGAAAAATCTCAGCATGAAGGTTCACTCTCTGCTGGCTGCTGTCTTCAACAGATGCTAGGAACTGCACTACCTTCCAAGTATCCGGAAGACAGCGAAAAAAATACCTATCCGCAAACCCGGGAAGGGCCCAACGCTAGCTTCAAGCTACAGCCCAATCAGCCTTCTTTCAGCGCTGAGCAAATTGTTCGAGAAACTTATCCTCAATCGTTTGTTCAAGTTTGCCGAGGAGCACAACATTCTCCTACCGGAACAGTTGGGGTTCAGGAAGGGGCACTCCACAAATCATCAGCTAGTACGGGTGATGAATAACATTCGAAGTAACAAGGCTGTATCCAAGTCCACAGCCATGACATTGTTAAAAAAGAGTTCCCATATTCGTGAACCACAGCCGTGAACCATAGTTCACGGTGTATATTTGAGAAAATTTTGTTCATGAAAGCTGGCCGTGATTTTTAGTTCACGGTCCGTTCCCGTTTTCGGGAACGGATTTTTTTCCGAGTAGACGTTGAGAAAGCGTTTGACAATGTCTGGCACAATGGGCTTATATAAAAGCTTTGTAACTTCAACTTTCCTTTGCATCTTGTTAAAATCACCCGTAACTGCCTTCAGCAAAGGTCGTTCATGGTATCGTTCAGTGGCTGTCTTTCAAACACGTTCTCCATCCAAGCAGGAGTTCCGCAAGGAAGTTGTGTTGGGCCCTTTGGCTTACAGCATCTACACTTCAGACATTCCTCCCCTCGGAGACGGACACCTTCTTCTTGGTGGCCATGAATGGGGTCTTTGAACAACTACCCAAGAACGTTTACATCTTCGTCTACGCGGATGACATCCTCATTGTAACGGTGGGTCCCACCCTGCAGAGGACGAAACTGAGAGCGCAAGCGGCAGTCTCCTCGGTGGTCAGATGGGCTGACTCTGTTGGTTTCCAGCTTTCCGCCGGCAAGAGCGTGCGCTGCCATATATGTACCACCAGGCATCGCAACAACGGACAGCCCATCATGATTAAAAAACAAGCAATACCGACTAAAAACACCGTGAGGGTCTTGGGAGTGCTCCTCGATCGGAATTTATCCTTTGAGCCGCACTTCCAACAAGTAAAGAAGGACTGTCGCAGTCGGTCCAACCTGATTAAGACCATATCCCGCCCCCACCGATCCAACAATCGCGAAATCCGCTTCCGCGTAGCTAGAGCCATCATCGACAGTCGCCTACTGTATGGTGTAGAGATTACATGCCTTGCCGCCGAGAAAGCCGTCCAGATTCTGGAACCGGTGTACAACGGCTACGTTCGAACAGTCTCCAGTCTCCTGCCCTCTACCCCGGCCGACGCTGCATGCGTTGAAGCCGGTTCCTACCTTTTCGGCTCGTTTTCACCGCAGCTACTGCTACCAAAGCCGCTGCCTTTCTCGCTAAAACGTTGGGAAACAACAGGATCGTTCTCCTCGACGAGGCGAACCAACTCCTCCGCACGGCCGCCGACGTAGATCTCCCTCCAGTGGCCAGGGTCCACTGGCACGGAGACAAAAGTTGGCAATCGCACAAGATTAAAATTGACAGCCGAATCAAGGACCGCTTCAGGGCAGGAGACAACTCGCTGGCTTTACGCCGGACAGTTGTCGAAACTCTCGTTGCGCACTACCAAGGTTATGAAGTTAGGTACACCGACGGCTCTCTCTCCAGGAGCGAAGTGGGAATGGGGGTCTCCGGAGATGGTCTGCTTGTGAGCAGATTGCTCCCGAACCAATGCTCGGTGTTCTCAGCTGAGGCAGCAGCCATTCTCCACGCGATTAAGCTACCGGCCAACCGGCTGATATTAGTCGTAACTGACTCACACAGCGTGATATTGGCCCTAACAACAGAAACACCGAAGCATCCGTGGATCCAAGGAACGGTAAAGCACGCGCCGCCCAGTACAGTATTCATGTGGGTACCCGGTCACTGCGGGATCCAAGGGAACCTAATAGCCGACCACCTCGCCGGCTCAGGCCACACTGGACCCAGGTCCACCGGCAATGTACCGCTCCAAGATGTCAAAAAGTGGATCAAGCGGACGATTTGGAGAGCCTGGGACACAGAGTGGAGGAACAACAGGACACACCATCTTCGGAACATCAAGGCGACCACCGGAACCTGAAAGGATCGACCAAACCTACGAGAACAGCGAGTGGTGTCAAGGCTACGCACCGGGCACAGCAGAGTCTTCCACAACTTCGGAGGAACACCGTTCCGGGGGACCTGCGAAACCTGCGGAGTGCCAGCCACCGTGGAGCACATCCTCGTGAACTGCGCGGAGTTGGAAGAAATTCGGGCTGCCTTTGGCTTGGAGTCAATCAGCATTCGGAACCTGTTGGGCGACGAGTCCCCGGCAGCAGCCGCCCTCATCACCTTCCTAAAGGAGGCGAATTTTTACCACAATATCTGAGTGTTCCTTGTTTGTATTTCCGTTTTGTTGGCTCTTCTGGCAGTTTTCTAAACCTTTTCATTATACCATGATAAATGTACCATAGCCAAGATTGGGAATCTCCTTCTGAGAACCCATTTTTCAATCTTAAGAGATGAACTAGCCATATGGCCATAAAAATCTCTATAATAAAGAAAAAAAAAATCTCAAATGTACTAAAGTTGAAAACACGCATCTGTGTCACTTGAAAATTCATACATGTAAACCACACAAACACAAGAAATAAAGATCATTTAAAGTCAAAAGCCTCAACTCGCTTTTCGCTTCGGACGGCGTGGTGAGCAGGTAGCAGAAGCATCAATAGCAGCAGTAGGAAGGTGGTGGCAGGTTAGGTAGTGTACTCTTCTAACCAACAAGCAACAATGACTGATCGTGACAAAGGAGGAAAAGGTCTTGATAAAGGAGGCGCCAAGCATCATCGCAAGGTTCTTCGTGATAACCGCCATCCGTCGTCTGGTTCGCCGTGACGGTGTCAAACGTATCTCTGGTCTGATCTACGAGGTGTGCTGAAGGTGTTCCTGGAAAATGAGATCCGTGATGCTGTCACCTACACTGAACACGCCAAGCGTAAGCGGCCATGGATGTCATCTACGCTTTGAAGCGACAGAGACGCCCTCTGTACGGCTTCGAAGGTTAAATCATCACCAACTTTGGCAACAAGACGGCTCTTTTCAGGGCCAACAAGCTTACTACAGTAAAGAGTTGAAATAGAATTTATCTGTGCCTGTTTGTCCATATTCAGAAACACACGCCCCCAACGACCACACAAAATGCTCTCCAGAGTTGTAATCTTGTAACCAAACTTGGAAGCAGGGGTGCAAGTGATTTTGATCGATTCTCTTTCAACTTCTCTTTCTCTTTGAACAAAATTACCACAAATTTGGTACGCCTACAATTCAAAAACGGAAAGATTTAAGATAGTAGATGATCGATCAATTAAAAGAACTAAATGCTCTTCACATTTGTTCCGTCCACTAGCGGTCCTACGTCAAGCTTCCGTTCGTGCCCCTAGACATAGACCCTTCTACTTTTTTAGCGATGGGCCCAATCTTAGATCCATAGGCCAACATTAGAGCCACTTCCCCTCGATAGTGTAACAGCAAGAGCATCGATTGACACTGATAGCTCGACTTTGTTTACCTTTGTTACTTTCGACGTAATGGAAATTTGCTCTTGAAATGTTTCATTCATTCGAAGGGATTTCAGCTTCTTAAAGATAACACACAAATTTATACAGATTTATAACATCCAGACCACCCAAATCAAAGACAAACGGTTCAATATGTCTGAACGAAGGCCTTAGCAGGTTAAATACCATGCGTCTCCATGGAACACTGAATTCAAATGGCGATGGCCAGTTACCTACTTGGGGTTAGCTGAAAGTTTTCCAAGCAGTTACGCAGCTCCTGCTCTGCCACCAAGCAGGTGCATATATTAACAAAATTATTGATCTACTCTGTGAGCACAAATTATCATCTCAAACACATATTCCTACTTCTACGAAACTTTCTTTAGGGTCATTCCAGTTCCCATCCAGGCAAATTACGAAGCAACAGTGGGAATTATCCAGCTTGCATAGATAGCTAAGAAAAACTAGATTATGCTGGAACCCACCGCCGGCACCAGGGATTAATAAGGAAAATGTAAAACAGTGGAATTAAGTACTTTTTTCTCACCACATTTGCTCCCACTTTGGCGAAGGAAGCCGATACAAGTGGTCCAGTGCAAATTTTTACATTCCGACATCCGGTGCGAAACGTACACCGGCCAGCCGGAAGGAAAGATGTGCTATGTTCACCATCGCTTCGCGATAAGCTTTCGAAAGAATGTAATTCCACTGCTGTTCTAAAAACTGCTCTCGGGTAGCTCATCTCTTGCTGTATGGGTGAGAGTGAGTTCCACTCATCGTCGATTGCTGAGAGCAGGAGTGAGATGAGCGCGGTCCAAAACCAAAACATCGGGGCTCCACGTGTCTCGCGCGTGGGTGTAATGCACAGCAGCAGAGTGTTGCATCAGTTGAGCCTGCCCCGTCTTTGGACCGACCCGGGGAGCAAACCCACTTGTTGAGTTTTTGTTTTGATTTCGATGCCACGGCGCCGGCAGTGGGGTGTATCAACAGCTGGAACGGAACTCTCCCGTTTTCTCTTGATAGTAATGCAAAAATGTTTCGAGAAAGAGAAACGATAGGTGATTCTCTTTTTAGTACAATTCCGGTGTGGCGCGCGGAATTAGTACCCGACAGTTACGCGCTCCTTTCGGATCATATCATGATTATCACATCACGCTGAAGGGACGACGGCCGGTTTGGAATATCAGTATCGTCCCAGCACGCGACTCGGTCGGATCGGAATCTTATCTCGTTGTCCCGCGAGACGCGCTGTTGAAGGCAGTTTCCATGGTGGAGTTAGCCTCGACGTTGGTTACTTTGATCGGTTTCCGGAGATTTTAATTCGTGATGAGTGTTAAATAATAAAATATGTTAAATTTACAAGAGTTGTAACTATGTGAAATGGTGAAGATGCTAGTGGAAAAAAAATTTAAATTAATATGTGTGTTTTGAAAATCTATTAACAAGTGTTGTGTACCAAACATATAAATTTAATCAATCGGTGTTGAATGAAACTAGAAACGGATAATAAGCTCCGCCAAGGATAGACACGTCGGTAAAGTGAATCAAGAGATTACTCATCACGTACACATCGGTAAAGTTCAGCCCCCGGGATTCCAAGGCCGGACAACAACTGGGAGGGAACCTCCGATAAAAAAGGTTGGTCAAATTTTTGTTTGTTTCCCTTGTTCGTATATTTCATTCGGCTTGGCTAAGTGGGCTGTAGGAAAAGCCGGGCAAATCTCCACCGTCCAGTGTGTTTGTGGGTGGTTGAGCAAAACCACATCGTCCACCTGACCATCACTCCTCTCGGTTTGCCGATCAACCTCACGGCAGTTGTGTTTTCCAGGGGATGCTGGAGGGAAATTGAATTTGAGTTAGTTTTTTTTCTCTTTCGGTTAAGTGTTTGGTGCTTTTGGTGATGAACATCAATTGGTGACAATGATGTAAATGGGAAATGAATAAGCTCAGTTGTAGTGTTTGCAATATTTACTTCTAAAAAATAGTAATCATTTTTTTTTAACAATGGGTTTTGAAGACAGAAGTGAAGTAGAGTTAGGAGGGACAAAAGTTCGTTTTGAGGTTTTCGAAGCCCGTGCAAAATAAAACTCAAATTGGTGGTGTTTTCGAAGAATTATCGGTGAAAGTGTGTTACGCGATGATAAATTATAACATTTGTACTAGCTTTGGGGACGCAAAACAAGAAAAAAACAAAAGTTAAGGGGTAATTTTATTTGAGAGCATGATTGCATTTCTCTTAAAGATGATTTTAGGAGTATCAGACTTTTAATATGTCATCAGGAAGCTGAAATTGTCTATAGTGGAGCGAAAGTTCAAGCAGAGTCATTCAAGCTTAAATCTCAGATTGTGTAAAATTCCATAACCGTCGATTTAAATGAAATATTCAAGTAGCAATAATCAACCAGATGGCGCAAGATGATTGACCTGTCATAAGTTTGTTTTTGTATTGGATTTGTTATTTCAAAAAATGAGAACAGAATACATACGACTGTAAGTACTTGTGTACGAATCCGTTCTGTCCGGATTGCCTGGAAAATTTCTTCTCGGAGATTCGGCGACGTTGCGGGTTTAACGATGCCCCAAATGCATATCAGTTCAGTAGTGCTTTCAAATACGCTATGCTGTCTTCTGCAAACGAAACATTTGATGAGGGAAAAAAAAACTGCCAAAACGACGGGCTTCAGCCTCTTTTGCATGGAGACGATCTTGAAGAACTTTACTAAGAAGCTGTAGCCACACTTTCATTCGAAGTTGAAGAACTTGACCTCGATACTCCTTTTGTTGCACAGAGAAAGGAGCTCAACGCGCTGGTTTATGTTCTAGGAATTGGGATTTCCAAACTGCCTCACGAAAAATGCCGTGCTAAGCTGAAAGTGTCGACTATTAATTTTCTAGATTAAAATGCCGGGCCTCATCACGAAACGTTGATATCCCAAATAATACGCTTCACGCTATCGGGCTGATAGCATTTGCTGCATTCAAGCAAAATTTTCGGAAATTTTTGTTTGAGAACAAAATAGGTGTGAAAACTCCTTTAAAAGCATATGTTGCTCACGAGTACTTTGACAACGTAGTTTGCAAGGCTTACTTTGCTAGATTGATTGACTTCATTTACAACACTCTCATTCAAGGCTTCCTGAGAGAAGTTCGATTCAAAAATAAAGTAGCAGAGAACAATAAGCGTAAAACAAAGCGAAATCGTAAAGCAGTTCGAAAGAATTTGCCACAACGAGCTTAATTAATTGATATAAGGTTTGCCAAAAATATTATTATGTTTTGTAAAGTTGTCGAAACTTTTATTTTTCCAGTTGTCTAGTATGAAAACTTGCAATAAAACATTGTTGTACACTTGTTCATTATAAAGGAGCCAAACATTTATTGTGTCACGCAAAATCCATTTGTCATGAGATGATAGTCTGTCAATTTTACTGTGGCAATTTTTAACCTACGTGGCGCTAGTGAGCAAGTGATTTCTAACGTATTCTGGTTTGAAAATTTACACAAAACTTTTGATAAAATTTGTATTTGCTTGAATGTCTGTCTGCGGTTCAAGTCAGCGGACCAAAAGTTCGAGTCGTGTCCCAAACCCATTTAATCATTCACAAATGTCTGAAACGCATTTATTTTCTCTAAACAACCATAACTGGAATAGACAAACTTGCGAACTTATTGCATTTATTGTGGAAAAACACTATTTTTGAGTGGATTACGTTGATCGCCAAGTTCTGACATTACTGTCATGCACACTCAGATAAAAATTCTGAATTTTAATTGTGATGTAAACATTCATTCAGGTAGACTTGTATTTCATTTCACGCAACCGAGCAACTTGCAAACAATGTTGTTTACAAAGATGGGCTTTTGTATACAATATTTGCTACATTGCATGAAATGTGTCAGAACTTTACATGATATATAATGTAAACGTATATGATATGTGCCGTTCCATTTATGTGCATCATATTGAACAGAAATTTACACTACTTTTTCGAATTATGCAGTTAAAATTATTTTGTAATTTTACACGAATTTCCATGCACATAAAAAGAGTATGTATTTTCATGTAAAATTAAATTGATTTTTAAATTTACACGACTTAAAATTTACATGCATGTAAAATTAAACGTCACTTGAATTTTACATGGCTGGCTTTCACTTTTTGAACGAATTTGCATAGTTTCATTTTCAAGTACGCGGAATTATCACCCACACGAAATAACCCGCCTTCACGGCACAGAACATACTCTACACTTCCACCACTATATCAAAACGATCAGTCATGAGAAAAAAGGAACCACGAGCGCATTTTTGATCGTTTTTCTATTTTTCCATATCTAAATTTATGATTTTCTGAACGAACTAAAAGTGCTCTTTGTATAAAACCGCTTTAATCAATATTTTGTCTGTCATCCATTTTCTATTTGTCGTTCCACATAACCAAAACTGAGCGCACAAAACTTACAATACACTTTTCCGACATTCGCCGCACTGAAGAAGTGATTCGAGCTATACGCGGTGGAGAAAAAACTGATAGAATAATCGGTCCGTCCGCCATGTAAGCTTTCTCAATGTTTGTTGATTTAAATTTACATGAGCATGTATATTTATAGGTTTTATCATTGAAAATTCGATGTTCTTCGATAAGTTTTTCCATCGCGAGGAGAATAATACCAACCGGTGGCCACTAATGATTTTAAATTGGCTCACTACTTGACTAGCCTATTGGTCCCAAGCAAATCGATTAACGTGCCCCATTCCAGTCGAAATTCTAGTACTACACTACGCTATGAAAGTTTCACAGATAAAATGAGGGACAAATTACAAAATTATTTTGTTCTGATTGAGTGATAGCCAGACTGCCAAGCCGAAACTGATTATTGATAAAATGAGGGGTTCGTGGATTTTCCTATGTTTCGAGGGGTGCATCGATTAGCTTGGGACTGAAGACCTATGAGTATCAGAGCTGAGCCAAAAAGTTGAGCACGTTTCTTCGGGACCTACTAGTCTTAGAATTACCTCTATGATAATACACTGCAAGAGAAAATTAATCGAATAAACGAGTAATTTTATGAGTTTTATCACGCTCTTTTAATGTGCATGATGTTTACTGTAAAATTAAATTAAAACCCAGTTTAAAGCGATGTATTTTTAAAATAGTTTTGGTTTACATGTCATGTAAAATTCCTTATTTTTTTCTATGTATAAATTTTCCTTTCAGAGGATCACATGAGAGGGTTTAGCATGTTCAAGCCTGGTAGCAGTAATACAAATCTCGATTTCTTTTTTGAAGGAACGTATCAGCCTTTGTAAACAATGCATTTGATCGTCGGTTTGTCGGTGCGAAAAAGTTCTGTCGCTGGCAGAAAACAGTTCAGAAATGTCGTGACCACCCACATATACAGCGGGCGAGTTTCCAGCAGCGCGCTTACGGACCGCCCGGTGGACTGGGCGGACTTGGGCGGAGCGCCCCCGCGGCGCTATTGGGTCGCCCTCTGCAGAGACGTTGAATAGAGACACACATAGACTGAAGTAAGAAGAACCAAACAAACCGTCAAATGCTGAACCAAATCTAATAGCGAATTCGTTTATTATTCAGTTCCAACCTGGATCGGGTATCAAGATTGGGTCTGCTTGTTTTCTGACAAACGTCAGTTTGCTCGTTTGTTTTTAAAACCTAGCTCAGGTTGAGGTTCGCACTGACAAAAAGTTCGGTTTCGCACTCACAAATCGAAGGTCGCCCACACAAACCAACACCATCATCGTGTAGGTAGAAGTTTCCCCTATCCGATGCTAGTGTTGGTTTGCATGGGCGGCCTCCGTTTTGTGAGTAAAGGGCTTTGGAACGGTTTGTTTACAAATGCTGATGGGCCCTTTTCTATTGTTGATCCAGAGCAGACAATTGAGTTCTCCAAGCAGGATCTCACGAACACTACACTAATAACATAATTTTACACACACTAGCGTATACTGTCATGTGCACGGTAAGAATCAAACATCCATTTATGAGTAAAAGTGAACCCATTGTAAATAAAAGGGGCACCACTAATTAATGAGTAATTCATTATGCCAATTAAGTAGTAACTGTTAGCTACTGTTAGCAGAAACTCATTGTTGTTAAAATAATTTACTCATTAATGAGTAAAACCACCTTTTTCAAAAATGGGTTAACCTTTACTCACAAAAGGGTACTTGACTGTTACCGTGACTGTTTACTTTAGAATGACAGTTCTTACAGCAAACAAAAAAATTCTCACAGCTAACAAAAAATTTCATCTCACTAACACACGCAACTCGCACCAATACGAACCCGGCTCGAGAGGACTATACGGGGGTGAAAACGAACCACTTTTCTGTCAAACGCGAACCAGCTCGTGATTGGCCGATTTGAAGTGCGTAAGATGGAGATAGAGATAGAGATAGAGATTAAAGAGTACACGGTTAGAAAAAAGTACCCAAAATTAAGTTCTTTTCACTCATCTCGGCACTACAGTCCAAGAACCCAAAAGTAGGTAAAGCGGGTTAAAGTAATTTTCATTTACTTTTGTGCAATTCGTATGGAATTTTTCACTCGCTTTCTACCCAAAAGTAAGCTAGTTGTACCCAACAGTAGGTAAATATGATTATACTCAACGTTGGGT